GTGTGACTATACAGAGATATACAATACATATACTGTATAAGTAATACATTGCGCATGTGTGACTATACAGATATATACATATACAGTGTTAGGAATACAGTGCTCATGTGACACTATACAGTGTTATACAATACATATACAGTATAAGTAATACATTGTGACTATACAGATATATACATATACAGTATAAGTAATACATTGCAGCATGTGTGACTATACAGATATATACATATACAGTATACATTGTGTGACTATACAGATATATACATATACAGTATAAGTAATACATTGCGCATGTGTGAGTATACAGAGATATACATATACAGTATAAGTAATACATGTGTGACTATACAGAGATATACATATACATTGCGCATGTGTGATATACAGAGATATATACATATACAGTATAAGTGTGTGATATACAGATATATACATATACAGTATAAGTAATACATTTCGCATGTGTGACTATACAGATATATACATATACATACAGTATACACTATATATACAGTATATAATACATTGCGCATGTGTGACTATACAGAGATATACATATACAGTATAAGTAATACATTGCGCATGTGTGACTATACAGATATATACATATACAGTATAAGTAATACATTGCGCATGTGTGACTATACAGATATATACATATACAGTATATACATATACAGTATAAGTAATACATTACAGAGATATACATATACAGTGCGCATGTGTGACTATACAGATATATACATATACAGTGTAAGTAATACATTGCGCATGTGTGACTATACAGAGATATACAATACATATACAGTATAAGTAATACATTGCGCATGTGTGACTATACAGAGATATACATATACAGTATACAGTATAAGTGTGTGAATACATATACAATACATATACAGCGCATGTGTGATTATACAGATGATATACATATACAGTATAAGTAATACATTGCGCATGTGTGACTATACAGAGATATACATATACAGTATAAGTAATACATTGCGCATGTGTGACTGTGTGATACAGAGATATACATATACATATAAGTAATACATTGTGTGTGATAAGTATATACATATACAGTATAAGTAATACATTGCGCATGTGTGACTATACAGAGATATACATATACAGTATAAGTAATACATTGCGCATGTGTGACTATACAGATATATACATATACAGTATAAGTAATACAGTGCGCATGTGTGACTATACAGAGATATACATATACAGTATAAGTAATACATTGCGCATGTGTGACAGAGATATACAGTATAAGATATACAATATATACATATACAGTATAAGTAATACATTGCGCATGTGTGACTATACAGAGATATACATATACAGTATAAGTAATACATTGCGCATGTGTGACTATACAGAGATATACAATACATATACAGTATAAGTAATACATTGCGCATGTGTGACTATACAGAGATATACAATACATATACAGTATAAGTAATACATTGCGCATGTGTGACTATACAGAGATATACATATACAGTATAAGTAATACATTGCGCATGTGTGACTATACAGAGATATACAATACATATACTGTATAAGTAATACAGTGCGCATGTGTGACTATACAGAGATATACATATACAGTATAAGTAATACATTGCGCATGTGTGACTATACAGAGATATACAATACATATACAGTATAAGTTATACATTGCGCATGTGTGACTATACAGAGATATACAATACATATACAGTATAAGTAATACATTGCGCATGTGTGACTATACAGAGATATACATATACAGTATAAGTAATACATTGCGCATGTGTGACTATACAGAGATATACAATACATATACAGTATAAGTAATACAGTGCGCATGTGTTATTATACAGAGATATACATATACAGTATAAGTAATACAGTACACATGTATATCAATATGATTAATAGTAGTTTGGTTTAATCATTAGTCCATAACTATTCAATATATCTTTATACATTCGGTCCATGCAATTAAATCAACATTTTTTTCTTTACGTAATCAGTTCATACTTTATATAACAAATTACTGATTTGTCATCAGTTTCTGTAATTTTTGACCAAAATCTTATTCTGGTTTTGATTGGATCTGGCTCTAAGCCTTTATTTTTGAAAATAGGAATAATGTTACCCTCGGCCCAATATTTAGGAAGGATTCCCGTTAAAAATACAACATTAAAAAGGGTTTTTTTCATATAAGGGTAAAATGACATCATTGAAAGCTCTAATACATCAATTTCTAATATGATAATTGCTGATAGCTTTGTTGTTTTTAAAAAATTAAATACATAGATCTATTTGATCAACAGATATTTTCTCATTAACTTTTTCATTGATCTATTGTGAATCGATGTATCGATTTCATTTTATGATTCATGTAGTAGGTGAACGGCAAAATAATGTACAAGGTTTCAGTAGAAACATTGCTTTCTTTACTTTTTCTGTTAATCATGTTCCTGTAATCTTTTGGGTTGTTTTTTACTTCATTTCACTTCACTGTTTTGGAGATTTTTCCTATATTTAACTACAACACTGATAATATACATGTACAAAACCTCTTGACTTCATTCATTGTTATATAGTGTATTAAACATAGTTTTTGTCAATTTTTCGCATGCAAAGAAAAAACTGGGCGCTACCTAATGAATTAGTGACCTTGGTGTTTTAATGCACTTTCCTTTTCTAGTTGTTGTTTTATTTATTTCAAAGCAGATGCCCTTTAAATAAATAAAAGGACACTTTTACTCTGCTTTTCGTTTAGGCGTTTGTTTTTTGGTTTTGTTTTTTGTTTTGTTGGGTTTTTTCGTTCAAATATTCCATTTTTCTACTAAACAGCCCAAATTAAAAATAGAAAATGATTATGAAGCAAACATTTGAAAATAAGAAAATGAGGATGTGACTGCCATCAGCGAAACTATGTATTTGTATGTTACTTTAGGAGTCTACCTACTTTTATATCAGTATATGTTTAGATAGAAGATATAACAGTTCCAATATAATTCAATATTTACCAGTCAGACAAAATAACTCAAAAGAAATCGGAAGAGCAAGACACAACTGATCAGTGTTTGATTATACTGTCAAAGCTTTGAACATACTGTGTAAAATCCCGCATCATTAGAATTCAAAAACAAATCTGCACGCATAACATATGCAAATATTACGGACAAAAATATATCTAAAGTTTTTGAGAAAGTATCATTTTTCTACAAGGTTAGATTTATTAAGTACAAATATTTTAAAAATTATCAATGAAAAGTGTCTTTCTGTGTTTTCAATAGGAGCTGAAATACATTTTATATTTAAGATATCTGATATCAGATATCTGTCAGTGTGGCGAGAGATTTCCAACATGTTGGGGCGTTCAACCGTTAAAGAACTATGAAGCGAATATATTATCAATTTTGCAAATCATGTAAACAAGATATATATTTCTATATTTACACTTACGTTATATAGTCTTACGATGAAGCTTACTAACCCCTAATGTTTACTGCTTACATTTATCGATAACATATCTAGATGATATTAATATGAAAAACGTAAACAAAACTGTCAGTTTCAATTGCTTTTTGAGTTATTTTGTATGTTCGCGTGGTCAATGGCTCCCAAATTATATCATCTTTTGGTTCCGGTGTGGAAGGCTGAGCTCACCGCTGTTCTGAATATGTTTATATGTAATTTTAAAAAAATATGTTATGAAAATACGTGATAATGAAAAGTAAATACAAGAATTGTTGTTTATTTTGGAGCGATTAGGATGCAGGTACAGAAAATAAGCAACACTCTTTTGTGAATTTTCCATTCTGGATAGCAATATCCCTGCATGTCCATTCTATGGTATTTACATGTCGCAGCTGATTCGATATTCAAGGATTTTCGTGCAAGAAGTCGTCAACTGACTGACAAACTCGAAACACGAACGTTCAAAAGATGCAGATTGATGAAAAGTATGGATAAGTTTTATAGTCGCCAGAGTGATCTCACCAAGAAATATTCTTTTTCTTTGTGCGACATGATGCCGGACGTATTTGATGCTCGTTGGTTTGCCAGTTGGTTCCGTTGTTGTATACCTTGTTTTCATTTGAGAACGTGACGACATTACTTACTTGGATTGACGGAGGTTTACATGGCGGGTGTCGTCGAATAAGCAGAAGACGCTTATTCTTCTGGAACACTTGGTCCTCTTGTGCGTTTTCAGGAGTCTCCGTGTAAATCTTTCTTCTGTTCATATTTTGCCCTAGTTTTATGGAATTCGAGTTTAAATTATGATTGTGTTGCCATTTTCTTGATATTAAAAAAAATAAAACTCGATGTCAAAGATACATAGTGATGAAAATTTGACTGTTAATTGCATCACAGATTCTTATCCGTTTGATATTGTCAACAAAGGTGTATTAGTAAACACTTGTACGTTGTAAACAGTAGCTTTGTATTTCACTGCATTATGATATTTCTAAAATGGTATGGTTACTCTTGACCGAAATGCAACAAGTAGTCATGCGTGTCTAAAGTAATGCTATATTTTGTCTTCATTATTTTATTTCTCACACAGTTCCAAATTTTTGAGCATCAAAAAGTTATGTAACAATATGTAAATATATTCGTTGCTTGCAACATTTCGTTTTCTCTGTAACATAAGCCATGTTTTATCATATTTTATCGAGAAGTTCTTTTTAAGGCCAGCAAAAGATTTGTTATTTCCTAGCAATGTTTTTTTCTGCTGCAAATTGTTTTGCACTTTATCGGCATTTTTTGTTTTCCATGCAACAAGTTTTTCACAATCATTGACGATCCTGAACATGCATTGTTTATCGTCCACAGCGAGTAAACATAGTTGTAGGTACTAATCGAGAGGTGTAGGATGAGTGTGTCGGTTCCTAATGTTCACACAACACGGTTAGTCGTCATCAAACCATCGCTCGTAACGTAATACATGTAGCATAAAGAACACAAAGAAACGTACATCAGTAATGATCTAAACATCGTGTTTATTTCAACAGTCCATACGAAGTCGAATGTCCCTGTCTTTTGGCATCACATTTAACTGGAAACATGAATGGCTTATTCTAATTCATGTATACGTTTTACCGAAGCCTTGCAGTTTTACAACTTCACTTTTTTCTTGATAACGAATCTTATCACGTACAGTTTTGTTCTAAAAGCTACAGAGAAATACTTGATTAACAACATAAACTACAATCGACGTCTTTATATATAATGTTACGAATAATAAATTAGCAAACAATGAAATAAATATATTATTATAAAATAAATCAAAAACCGGAACGTATCTGGAGCAAAGTATAGTACAGGTGTGGTGATGGAAGTTGGCGTCTACATCTGAAGGACGGTCCGGGTCGGGAATATCACACTTCAACAAACTTCAACGCGTAATGATAAGCGATTGCACAACACCAAAATATTTGTATAAATCAATAACGCTTACGTTATTTGTGTAGAAAAATCGAAATGTTATAACTGATAGGAGTTTTAGTTTATGTTGATAGGATAAAGGGACTTCCGGGAATATCCTCATCGCCCCATTTCACCATGAGTGTGTGCTCGCCGATCTCGTGACATTTATAACTGATTGTAAATTGTGTAGGACCATTCTTCTTCACAGTGAGCTCGGGTTCGGGAATACCTTTGGGATCACACATTGCCACAAATAACATGGCGTTGCCTGTGAAAGATAAAAATGTCAGTGTGGTCACTCAGAGCGCATGTCTAGCAAGTATACTTGTATTACTTTGTGATAATCATTTCAGAGAAGAGATAATGCTCTATAACGATTGCTTCTGAACGCCAATATTAGGTTACTGTGATACGCAATACTAACCTTTTTGAAACATGTAGCTTGATATATTCTTAATTATGTGTCCATCTCATACGCTATTTAGATTTTTAAAAAACTAATCTGAACGATAGATATTGAATAAATATGATAAAAAATGAGCAAGCCTAAGCTGGTTTCTCATATCACATCAGAATATTTTTGGATAGCACAACAATTACCAGCTTCTTTGGTGTCGATGGAGAAGCTCTGCACCGTGTTCGTTCGCACTTTCTTCAAACCTGCGCCTCTGGCTGTTACTTTACTAGCGTCACCACGCATGCGTTTCACTGATTTGCCGCCATGCTTCTTTTCCATAGTTTCCACAACCATTGAAGTTTGTTCGTTAACTGGAAGTGGTTTCCGTCCAGATCCTCAAGAAATGTCAAAATATATACAAATATAATATTTTCCTATACATGACAGCAATGGTTGAAGCTGATTCTTGGGTTAAAATTTTTGTTTATCGTTTAAGAAAGCATTAATATGGTTAAGGCTAAGTAAATTATAAAATCATATTGACAATGAAGCTCTAATCACGCTTACCTCTAAATCATCAAACAATCAACACATCAGTGTCTTGTAAGCAACAACAACAATGTATCGTCATATAACAACATTCACAGTAATATATACAACATAGAATTTCCATCAATCAATGGATACAATCCTTATCAGCAACATACATTATAATGTTATACATCAGTTTAAAAAAATGATAATGTTAACAAAAAATATCAGAATTATCTTTTATTACACAATCTGCCTATTATCCAGTACATATGTGTCACCAGTTTTATATACCGTCAGAAATTGATTGTGGTTTCATGCCCACTGATGTACAGCGTTATGTCTTCCACTTTTTTACTTTAAAATATGTCAAAATGATTATTTGGTTTTGTTTCATGTGAAATTTCATGAAACTCGTCTTTAAGTTTAGTTTTAGTTCGCAAAAGCCTCGTTTTTTTTAAAGTTCTAAGACTTGTTGCATAAAATCTCATGTGAATTGAAAACTCATTTAAGATCCTAGATATACTGTACTTATGTGAAATATTAAATTCAAATTGTTATGAAACAGTGAACATAACGGTGTAGACAAAGATATTGCCAGAATTTGTTAAGATAAATATACTGTTACTTTCGTACACTAAAACGAGTATTTCATCATATAAAAAACATATTGTCATTTTGGAATAGAACAAGTTCAGTCCATATACGATATTCTTGTATACTTTGGTTGTTGAATAAGATGCACAATATATTTGTGTGCTCGATAACGTCATCTGCAACTCAAAGACATATTAAAAGAAAGGTATCAAGCTAAGAAAGTCAATTCACCGAGTGGAATAGAAATGGACATGTAAAATGGATATGAACAAGGAAAAGAATATAAAACAAGGTTTGCGACAAGGTTTGGGAAAGATTTGGAACAAGGTTTGGAAAAGGGTTTCGAACACGGAATAATATAGACAGCGGCGATTGGTCAGATAGACTATTAGCAGAAGAGTTTGCAAAATTCCTGTGGTGGGGCAGGACAAACCGATATTAGCAGTGGGGTAGGACAAACCGATATTAGCAGAAGCTCTGCAGCGTACCAGTGTGTAAACATTACCAGTCAATGGAACCATCATCTATCATATCATTCAAAATGAAAATTATTCATATTCCATTAATTAATCTAAGGTTGAAATATTTTGAATCGCCAAATCAAAGAACATAATTCTTATATATCTGAAATATCTGATATCTGCCTTTTAATCAAGAGATCCCGGATCTTTTGGTACTATGTATACTTCCGTTTTTCCACTCTTTAGTTCCATCAGCATTATTTTTGGTTATACTGATAGGTAAAATATGGTAAAACATTAGGCCAAATAACGGATCTGTGTTTCCCGGTGATCCCTGTTTTTTCAGCAATTTGATCTTGGCAAAAATAAAACCCTCTTGCTAATATATTATTCTTCGATCCCCAGAAATACGTGTAGTCTGGGGCAAATTTACTTAGATTCTGGATAATTATTTGTACTGATCGGTGTCAAAATTTTCTTGACATTTTCTGGGATTTACAATGGTCGCCACTATACGGAATCTCATTCCTTTCGGCCGTTTCATGTTTCGCATCAACTTAATATTTGTTTGGCATTGCTAAGGACAATGGCAACCCATCTAAGAACTCTCAAGTAAAAACGATACCAATTTAAAGTTTGAAATAACTGTAAATTTGTATTTTTTGATTGAGCTCATTTTTAATGTCTATTTCAGTGACACTTGATTTTATAAACATATCTCAATAAATTCAACTATACTTATTTAAACAGTTCGTGGACATATGGATTCGTGGATCAATACAAAAATATTTCCTACGAATATTGATTAACTCTGTATAACTATAATCTGGTTTCTGTATTTTAAAATGTTGGTACGGCAGAACAAGGAAACAGAAAACGCCTTGATTGGAAACATCTGAAAGATCTTCCAAAGGTCATCTGACCACATTAATGATAATAGACGACGAGCTGCGGACGAAAGACAATTGTTATAGCAGCCTGATGATGGTGAGCTACATATCAGTTTCGTCACCAACACAAAGGGTTATATATCTTAATATACATGTCAGGAGTAAGTTGTTAGTCGGGGTCACGGGGTCACACCAGGATATTTTAATTGATTAAATCGCACTCAGAATGAGACATTAATTGGAAACTGGCGCAACGGCAGCACAACAGCCTTAAAAGGGTGGGTAGGGTGACAACAACTCATGTATAAATATAGTTTGCTGTATATCTTAAAGAAAAGGATTATCAGTCTTAATATGGAAGTTAAAATGAATGGCAAACAATAAATTATGCTTATCTGCAAAATATTTATACATCTATAAATGTAGATGTACTAAAGCTCTTTTAAGGCTAATTCTAAACGCAGTTTTCATTCTCATAATTCACAACCTAGTTTTCAATTCCGTTAAATATTACATAAAGTTTGGATCTAGCCTTGTGAAAGATGAATGTCGCTTCATCTAAGAAATAATTCGCTGGTACGTCAATATAAGATTTCATGATGTGCGTTCTGCTAGGTGAATAGTTATTTTGATAACACAGTAACGTGGAGGTGCGTGTCCTTAAACCTGATAGAATGGTTGAGAAGCATCATTGATGTCTTACGATCTATTAGGAGAAATTTTCATATTGTTTAATAATGGTAAATCACATGTTAGTGAAATTATTTATCAAAACACACAATATTCGTACGAAAATCGAGTTAGTAACATTCGCGTTGACTTATTCACAGTTGATATTGTCACATCTGGGCACCGGATACCTTTGTAAACCTCATAAATGCGAGATAAAGTCCGAATACGCATTTACAAAGTTAGCGTGAATCGAGAATTCGGGATTCAGCTACATGTGTACCAGGTTGCTGTACTTGAGCACACGATATGTCAATCCAGGTTGCATGCAAAGGTTGGTTCATGAAATATAAATTCAACACAAAATCATGGTAAATATTTCCAACCTCTCGCCTACATTTTCTGACTTAATAATCGTAAACCATACGTGCAGGGAATCATATGAAAGGGCATACCACACTGTCAAACCACGTCCTTAAACATTTCATCAAATTGCCCATAAACAACAAAACTAACTATATCACTTACGTCTAAAAGGAATAGCTTTAAACCATTGTTGAAGAAGCCATGGAAAACTTTTACATGATATCATACCACGCTTCTCGTTATAACTAAGTTTGTTTTGTACTGTATTGTTCTGCCTTAGTCATTTGTTTCATTTTTATAAACAAATGCTTGATGTAGAAGACGGATTTTCAATTTTTGATTCGTGTTATAATATACAAGATCTCCATGGCTTTTAAACAGCAAAAAAACTAAGCGAGCGCAATAAGCAACTAAATAAATAGGACTGAACTACGGTGGAGGTAGAGAAGGGCAGAAGCACCCTACCTGAGCCCCCAGACGCTGTGTCAGAAACAGAAAACAAAGAGTAAGACATGTACACACTAATGCTACTCAGTCACTTGCTTTTGGAGGTTTGACAGAAAAGTATGCATTATATGCGGTGTATATAGTTTTGTTTGCAATTGTCAGTAAGACACCAATTATTAGTGACTGATAACACACTTTAGCGTAGTAATCTTATTACACGTGTATACTGAGGTTAGACACCAGGAAAACAGTTGTGAAAAGTAGTTCGGAATCAAGGGGAATAATTTTAATTTCTCCGTGCAAGTAGTCAAGTGAAAAAGGAATGTATGGTTATTATATTCAATTAATCATAAGCTGTGTTATTTAATTGGTATTCAGGGGTTTCTGTGGGTGAAGATCTAGTCTAGTCTAAAACACGACAAACCTTTAAATGGTTGTCGACCTATCCCTGCTGAATATACACGTGTTGATATGTGATGTAAAAGCAAGTGTATACAACCCAATGTATCAGTTTACCTGTGATGACGGCAGCGTAAGGACTTCCGGCGATGTTGATATTACTGTACTTGATTGTGATGAGGTATTTTCCTGGAGCGAAGGGGGAGTAACTGAACTCGTACCCTTCGTCAACTTCTTTACAGCTGAGTGCTGCTTTCGAGGGACCATCGATGAATACAGCTAAGAAGCCAGAACCTGATCCCACCGTCCTTACCACAAATTTGTTTTTCATACCTGAAACGGGTGTTATAAGATAAAAATCTTTTGAATTTATCAACAGTGATAAACATACTGTGTCAATTATTTGTTTTACATATACTAAATAAGTTGTATGATTGCCCACTGGAGACTAAGGTGCATCACTTTCGTTATAGTCAGACCTACAATAATACTTTCATTATATTGCGATAAATCAATAACTATTAATCGGAAATGCTTTCGCAACATCTCGTCATAATATCATTTTCTATGGTCTTTGAGTAAAGTTTTCTTTTGTTCATAGTTTCCCCTCCTCGATTTTACTTAGGAATGAAGACTTTATGAATATGCTGTTTTTTTCTTTACATTTTTGTTGTTGTGAGTTTTGAATTTGTATTGCCATCGATTAAGACATAATGTTCCTAAGCATTGATCAAACGAAGATACAGCACCGTATCCCGGAAATCAAAAACAAAATATCAAGCCGAAGTTGAGGTATTACACTTACCGCATTTGCCGTGCTCTAGACCTTCTCCGTGCGCGTGCAACATGGCGGGATCAGCCGCGGTAGACCCGACCATCAGAGCAAAGGGACTGTCAGGGATATGGTGATCGTTTAATTTCACATCCACATAGTGCACACCATTTTCCTTTGGGATGAACCGCACCGCATACAGACCTGTGTCCATTTCTTGCAGAAAGCAGTCCTCGTGGGCTCCCGAAGGAGTCCTGACACAGGAATGGATTGCCCCGGTGGCTCCATTGTAGGAGACTGTGAAGGTAGCTGGTTTATCCACCTGTAAATATTTGAAAATAACAAGCATTGCAGTAATAAATGCACATTGTTATGTATGAGTTACTCTATGTTTTAAAATAGGTAATGGATATTTTAAGGAATAACCTATCATATTACACCAATCATCCATATTTCCATTGATACTGCCTTTTTCGTTTGCTGTCATTCTTCAAGACATTCACATAAGAAGATTTCACATCTAAATCTGTTCGGAATGTCAAGCAAACGCATGGCCGAAATTCATAAATGGATTCCAATTACCATTTGTATCTAGTTGGATCCTTGGTTGCCAGTTGAATCGGTTGACATAGCAATTGCAATATTCTTTCCTTGAACTGTTGGTTTCACAAGGTTGGAAAATAACTTTATCTAAAGTGTATCGGAAACGAAACTTACGTGTAATTTCTGACCTTTATGTATGTAATTTCTGACCTTTATGTATATAATTTCTTACCTTTATGTAATGGTTTTATTTACAACTTTTTATTATTTATGATGTCAAGTTGTACTTATCAAATCAAATATCCTTAGTTTGCATCGATCGCAACGTCAGAGTTTTAAAAAAAACCGCAATTAAATTCAGACATCAATCGTTATTAACAACAAAATCCAATATCATGGCTAATCCTTACATCTTTTTGTAAATGATTAGTACCGTTACTTCTAGTCATTACACAACATAAGCTTAAACGGTTGAAGGATGAGTTCGAACATTTGGAAAGATGTATGGTGTAGGTAAACTCACCATTGACAATTCGTCCTATAGGGACAAAACATGTGTATTATGTAGCTTAGTGTATTGTTGGCTGCGTCTGATTCTACATTTATATTGAAAATTGTTATTCACCTATTTTTAATCCACCTGACGATGTCCACACCGATCGTATTTTGTCGGTAATGGGTGATATTAATACTTAATACAGTTGGTAAACTAAAGCCAAATTATTTCATTCCTGGCAGTGTGATCCTTCACATGGATCAACAATGTCGTAAGTGTACCGTCGTCGTCTTTACGAAAACAAGATTTAGATCGAAATGGCCACGCGGTGGATGACTTTTGCTGTAGATATTCTTGATTGTTAGCGTCTATGCGAAAATACAGAACTGCTAAAATTATTGAATTATGTTACCAGTTAATCAATTGATGATGACAGCTTATTTTAAACTTTAAAGAGTACAATTGTGTTACTTGTTATCAACAGTGTATAACACATTTGTTTTGGAGATGTACGATAATGTATAATTATGTGTGTTCAATAATGTAAGCTAGGATGTATATGAGTTCAATGGTACATTTCTTTAAATATATATACGTCTAAATGTATAAGATGTGAACGAGTATCGAGCTATCAATGTTTGGTACATACCGCCAGTCCCCTGTCCTTGAGAGCATGTACCGTGACCTGTCTGGTGGCACCACTATCGGGGGCAATGTTCACCATGAATGGAGAGTTGGGAATATGTTCATCATTAAACTTTATGTGAATACCATACATTCCTGGAACAAGAAATGAGTAAAATTGAGAAAAAAATTAACTGACGTTTAAATTGTCGATGATACGAAGACAATATCACGTAAGCAGACAAACGTACCTGGTTTTTTGACAAAGTATGAAATGCCTAAGAAACCATGAGGTCGTTCCTCTAGTTTAATCTTGGCGTCTGATGGGCCCTCCACAGCTACACCGAGCTCCCCGGCTCCAGCCTCGCGTGTGTAAATGTTGAAGTCATCTATAAGATAAAGTTTTGCGTTATTGCCGCAAGCAACTAGTCAAAACCGTCGTTATCAATGTTGTCATATTAGTCAAAATGTGATTCTGAATGACCATGTTTCATTCATCTAAAGTCATGAATAAACATTACTATTATGTGATGCCGTAATGTCATAAAAATGTTTCATACATACACATTCGTTCAGTAGCAATGTTGCTTAATAGCACTCGAAGAAAAGTAACGAATGACACATCTGAATCGTAAAACAAAGAACTAATACTCACTGCTGATTCCCACTTCTCCACGCTCAATGCCTGGACCTCCTACTTGGACCTTGTGAGTACCGCCTGACGAAAGCTGTCCAACGGAGTAAATGAAAGGGCTACCTAAAAACATAAAAGGCATCACTATCTGTCAAAGATGTCTTTATTTTACCATCATAAGATGACTCTCTGGTAGCTTGGTAACCAAAGAGGGTTTATGATGATATTGCTGGTATAGTCAGGTAAGGATAAATATCACGAAATTTTTCAGATTTTTCTTTTTTTAATAACAACCCTAGCACCATGTAATAGCCGATACCATGAACCTTGGCCCGAAAGGCTCTTCATGCAATTACAGAAATTAACACGCGCAATGATTTGACATTTAAAGTTTGATGCAGCTTACATCATTGTTTGGCTCTACTGTATCTGCCGTTACATTTGTTTTAAAATGCGTTATGCACTTGTTGGCATTTTGCACAATCTTCGATATCGCAAGCAGTAAACACTTTTGTCGTATCCTAAATATCACGTCTAAACTCATTCGAATAATGTGAATGTTCAGAATATGCCCATGTACATGTAGTTCTTCTAAGAGTATAAAAAAATATGAAGATTTATTGATATATTGAATAATAAGGTTAATGCACCTCCTCGTCTATATTTTGACTTTTCTTCCGGTTTTCCTCGGTCGCCTCCTAGACTTCAAAATTTAGGTCCTTAGCATCACTGGGGAGTCCTTGAAGGACTGCTGTATGACGGTAATTGCATAGTTCTGTTTTATATTACTCTAATTTTAAGTTGCTATTTACTTATTCACTTTGAAGATAACCTTACTTGTTATGGTTTGTAATAAATCAAAATATTTCCGCATATTTCTGAATTTGTCAGTTCCACATATAAGCGGCATTTCACTACAGGTCATATTATTACTCCTAACTGATATCGTTTATAAATACACGTGAGTACGGAACAGATAAATTAATTTTCGGAAAAGATGGAACCAAGTAACACGAACTCGCCTTGTAAAGGGTATTTCTTTCACTCTCGTTAATAACTTTTCAAAAGTTACAATACCCTTTCTTTGCAAAGCAAGTAACTAGAAAGAGAGAAATGTCATTTATATCAACGAATTGTTGTGTAACCTCTACATATTATCATATTTCTCGTATGGATGCCAATAAAGATGCACAGTTATGTCGTTGTACCTGAGATATGCATGCCCTTGTGCTTGATACTAAGAATATGAGTGCCTGTCATCTGAGGGGTGAAGTTCATCCTGTAGTGGAAATCATCCTCATCCATAATTTCACAAAGTTCGGTACATCCGTCTCCGTCAGTCACAGATGCCTCCATATCAAAGGGATTAGTACCTAGTTACAGAACAGATCGATTAAGTTAGGGCAATCACTGCCTTGACAGAAACCGTATAAAAACATATAAAATCTTCATTATTTTAATTTTAGTATTTGTATATCAATTAGCATCGCACCTGTATTACGACTTTGAAAATTGTTATACTTCACATAAAGCTCATCTAAAGACATCATAATTCAGACTTACCTGGGATCTTTAACATAAATTCACAGTGGTCTCCCTTTTTCACTGGTTCAGCCTGTTCCATCTGCTTTGTGATAGTTTCCCTGACACGTCCCGATGGGTCTCCAACCACATTTAACAGGAACGGACTCCCTATACAAAATTTAGTCTTCAGTATCGTTTATGAGTTTATGAAGTTTAAACACATGATGTAATCTACATCAACATCTTTCGCACTTGAAACCATATATTGTTAAGACAAAGTCAATCGTTATATGAACTACAATTTCGTTAATATGTACAATTATAAGATTGTAGTATAATCCAGCTTACCAAAATATGATCTCGTTGGAAAATATGTTTAAATCGATATTCTCATGGTTTGCTCGTTGCTTTTGACGTAATTCTAAATTTGACATCACAATTTACATGACAGTGTCGTAGATGAAGCAGATGGGGCTGACCCTTCCAAAAAACATGGTCGCATTATTCTTATACATTTTCAAGGGTCGTCGTATAAATCCGTCTTTTATTTAAAATGATGTTCTAGATTAAACGAGATTCAGATACTGCCACGATGATATAATAACTACTAAATGTACATATGTGACATTGTCTACCAGGTCAGTGCCATTACATTATTCCAGGTCTGTTACCTTATGCCAAGCCATACCTGTGACATGCTCGTCGGCGAAACGGAGATTGAGGATGTAGATTCCAGGCTCATGAGGACTGTAATGTATCTCATACAGGCGGTTCTCGGAGGAAACACAGTCGATCTCTGACCTGTGAGGGCCCTCAATCACCATGCTCAAGCCTCCATAACCTGCCAACGGTATCACAACCACAGTTAATACGTGTTGATTTCTTAAAATGTGAAAAGAACCGTCCATTTCGGGAATCTAAAACATCGCTAACATTTTTGTAACTTACCTGCACTGTTGGTGTCGATTTTGAGTACATTGGACTGGTTTGCAAGGGCTTCTGTGGTTGGTCCAGTGACTTTCACCTTCGCTGCATGAGCGATCTCGCCGTCGCCGACATTGATGGAGAAGGGACTTCCTTTGATGTGTTTCTCGTTTCTATATACCTGTACTTTGTATTCTCCCTTCTGTCGGGGCGTAAAGGAGGCCAAACCTGTAATTCAGGAAGACTCATGATAAGTCAGGTTATGTCCCATTATATTTGCATGCGTTAGAATATGGCGAAGTGTATTAAGCAATGTCGCATTGTGCCTGAAAACGGATTATGCTATCAAGAATTTGATAAGTCAATATAGCAATATGTAAGATTTAATGTAGAGGTAATAAGGCGGATTAAGACGACAGTTACTCGGGAGACTTTAAAAAGACAAAATTACCCCTAAAACATATGAATAAATGTGTTGTTAGGACAAACAACTTTACCTAAATGCCCATCGGCCAGTTTCTTCAAGATGCATGGCTCTGTGGTGTTATTAGGAGTCTTCAGATGACCAGCTAAATCTACGATCTCTGGTTCCAGTACATCAAGGGAGTAGTCACTGCTATTGGCAAGTGACAACTGAGAGCGCTTACGGCCTTCACCTGTAGCAGAGTCCAGATGGTGTCAAATTGTCCATAACCAAGTGGTGTTTAGAGAAAAATGCAAAAATACCACAGAAAATAGCGTGCTAATGTTTAAGATTATTTCATAAAAAAGTCAATACATCATTAGATTTATTTGTTACTAATAGGGTTACCAACATTATACATAAAAAATAAATGTATAAAATTATCATGATGGTAATTTCAACATTGCGTCATATATACTTGTATGCAGGATTCACTTGTATGCAGGATTCATCATGGTTTATTTTCAATATTCGAGAACAAAAACATATTTGAGAGAATTGTATTACACCCATGAGCACAAATGTTTTCAAATGTAGTGAAAGTTTTGAGGAGATATCACATACCTTGATGAGTTAGTAGTGTCAAATCATTATGTATTAGACATGCTTTAGAGTTAGACCTTAAATGTACAGAAAACATACAGCCATCAGCAGTACGGGTCCTCGGAAGTCCAACAAACCAGCAATATATTGTTAGGAGTCTGAAATACTGGAACTACAAATCCGTGTCCTTGAACAGTGGTTCATGGAGCAATTAAGAACGATGCCGACCAAACTAATGACGTTCCACAGAATACATCCAAATGCGCTACAAGTGGTCTAATTAGAACAGTTTCTTTATATATATTCTTAATTACCATCATTCATGAGCAAAGGTAATTTTAAGATATACCATGAATAAAATATGAATTAACAATTAGACTAAATGGCCATTAACTATCCGAAACAAAATAGCAATCATTAAAAACATGTTCCAATATGACGATGTCTTCATTGATCCTGTCGTATCAGTTTCAAAATTTTCACAGGAGGGATTTATATTATAATTCCATCGCATACATTGAATATCAACGACGATCATTACATCGTCATTGTAGCTATGTAAACCACACCTTTACTGCTATGTTCAACACATCACATGCGCCTGTTCGAACCTCTTTTTCTGGGTGCATGTCATGGTGTTTGCATAATTTTACATTACATCCCGACAATTGACATGTATCAGCACCTGTTACTAATAAACAATGTTATAAGATATACGACCAGCTATACAGCATGCACTATTACGTTGTTAATATTAATTACTAATAATGACTTTATATGTCAAGTCCTGTCAAATATATTAGTCCTTAGTATATATAATATGTCCATGTGTACGTGCGTATCATCACGTTAACGATTCAGTTCAGTTTGTAAGCTGGTTTTGCTTTGATATACATTTTCTAACGAACTTTCGATACCACCCACACATACAGTCAATACTAAGTTAGGGATCTATATGTAGAACTACAGAGCGTTATCTATGTTTTATCGTCTACATAACTCCTCTGAGTTGGGAGATGCAGGTGCACGCCAAAGTTATGCTAGTATTTGGTTTACACGAGAGAATATGGTTAGAATGTACACATTAGCTATAGACAGTATCCACGTTCACCTTTCTGGCAACGAGGGAAAATTACAGCGGAGATAACTCTGTACGTGTTGTTAACTATCTAAGTTATTCTCTATAAATCATCTCTGCTCATTTCCGACAAATATATCATCAAGATCGAAATCAAATAATCATTGTTGTTACCATCCTGAACAAAATATTTATTACATGCTTAGTGTAAGCACTACATGTAACTGAAAACGCTGAATTGAAATAAAATGCTTTTATAGAGACAATTCAAATTACCACCTAAAGATTGCTTTGTAAGATATGTATTGATACAACGGTTATCACTAGCACCGGAATGATGGAAGTATGTGCCAAGCACAGACGTTAAAAAGAAGCATACACTAGAAAAGCCCCGAAATGGGTGTTAGTCTACAAGCATTCGGCGCCCGAAATTACGTCACACATGTGACGTTGACGGTAAACATGTACGACACAGGTCTCTAGTCTTTGCCGTTAATGTAATTCATTCACTACGTTAACAATACCTATTCCAGGAATAAGGCATTTCACAAAATGGCCAGGTTTTGTTAAAACATGTCATATCAGTGAAATACTAAAATTTATATCTACTTACACTCAACACTTCTCGGGAACAAACCCATATCATACCCGATCATAACACACTCACAAAACATTCTCTACATTCACTTATCTTACACTTTCCTTCATCAGCTCATCTCAATTCTCTCTTTAATCACTTTTATCATCCCCTCAACACACTCCCTACCTCCACTCATCTTACACTTCCCTACACCCGCACGTCTCAACTCTTCTTTAAATCAACCCCTAAACACATTCCCTACATCGTCTAATTTCCAATCTTCTTACATTCGCTCATCTCAACTCTTCCTTTAGTCACTTATATCATCCCCTCAACACACTCTCCCTACATCCTCTCATCTTGCACTTCCCTACATCCGCACGTATCAGCTCTTTTTTAAATCAACCCCTCAACAGACTCCCTACGTCGGCTCCTTTCCAACCCCCTTACATTCGCACGTCTTAATTCTTCCTACTATTTGCCACGTATGATGTAGTATGAAGACAAATGATTGTTTTCAAAACGCAGCCATTTTATAAAATTCCTTGATAATGAAATAATGCTGTCCTATTTCAGTTTATCTGCAGTTCCAGATCAATAGACAAGAAACTCACCCTTTTTGAAAACCCCGTCTGCCTGCACTGATTGTGGGAAATAAATAGTAATAGTTGAACACATTCATACGGGGAAAGACTGGCTCAAAACCGTGAGAATATGTGCCTGTTGTGTCTATATTTATCATTTTATTACAATTCCCAACACAAACAAGAATTCTAGAGAGGTCATGTTGATTTGTATATAATGACTCGGATTTCAATCTCGTCCGATAGCATCGTTTACTATCAATATAAATACACAAGCTACACAACAACAGTTTTGAACCAATCTGGCACACTGTATATAATTCAAGACATATCTATAAAAAACAACAAACTTCAATCTCTCCAATGTAGCAATACTTCAAACCATGGGATAAATTATGAAACAAAAACGGCAGGAATTCATTGTACAAAACATCAAGGGTAGGAAAATAATTTATTTTTATTAGAAAAAAATCAGGGATAGAGGGGTTATGGGTTATGTACAAAGTTTATCAGCACAATGAATTTACTAGTGAGCAAAGTTCTTATTATATATGAATGAACGTAAACTGATTACAGAGATTCAGATGTAGTACGTGTATTTACACGAAATAAGACGGGAAGTGAGAGGAGACAGGTACGTATCCCTACCACAAATACCGCTCATACTCTAGCAAAAAAACCACAGGTCGACAATATCCGAGCAAGGTGTAAAAAGAACTGTACTAAAACACAAGTACATCAAAAGGAAACTTGATATTTGCGGATTGTTATTGCCAAATACTTTCCGCGCATGCGCATAGAACAGTAAAGTACTTGTATATGTCCACAATCAGTGTACACAGTGAAATATCATATATTGATGCATAAAATAAAGTGCTGAAACAGCGTCGTGCAGGAGGGAAGTTAAGCTGTCTACCTGAAACTTTAGACTGGAAGGGTGAACCCTTGATTTCCTTTCCTTTGTATTTGATAATGATGTTGTACAATCCGGGCGTCATTGGCATGAAGGACACATCACATCTATCCGAGTTATCCTTCCTTTTAAAGTCCGTCTTTGTTGGTCCGTCAATTTCTATAGATACGTCCTCTGCAAAAATAATCAACCTGTTTAACACATATCCTACATACATTGTATCGAGGAAAACATATTCTAAAGGCAATTGATAAAAACAGACGTGTAGGTATAGACTGTACCTTGAATTACCAACAATTGAGTAGTATTCGGCGGAAAAAGTAAAAAAAAAAACTGAATCTGAAATGGTAATTTTAACCCTGTTGTATGTACGCCACACCTAAAGCAATATTGGAAAGGAAGAATTCGGAAGAAGGAACATATAGTTACTTGTCTGTGTAATTGACTGTCCATTTCTTCATTCATAGCTTGGATTGATAAGACAATGAAAATATTTATTATTACAGAAATAATAAACGACTAAACGATCATTTCAGTTCTGATACAGGAACAACTCGCTGAAAAATTGCAGAATATCAAAATTCCCTAGTATTTTTTTTATTAGTTAAGGAGGCCATGATGTTAAGCTTTCTCTCTTTTCAGGTCGCGCTGAATGGGAGCCAGCCCATCGTGTCTAATGTTGTAAGCCTCATCCGTTAACTAGTAATGCCTTTTAATTGTTACCAGACGGTATCACAACTATGGCATCCTGGCATTTATTGCAGAAGGCAAAAGTAATAGAATATTGACGGTACTCGATGTAGACAAAGTCAATAGGACCGATGGCCTCAGACAGGTTAACGTTTCTGTGATGACCTCTCACAATTACAGTATGTCCAGCTACTAATGATGTTTATACGGGAGGGTGATATTGCCGACACAATAAAGAGATTCCTTTGTTATTGTAATAGTCAGAGATTATTTGTGGGTTGTTTTTGGGGAGAGATGGTACACTCTAGAATCACAACTATCATTATAACAGATACCAAGTACCACTCAAGAATCATTACCTTCATCATAACTGATACCAAAGCATTATACATACATGCAGTCATGACTGATAAAATGGTTAGGACATTGCTTGAAATAAATTTCAGTTTTACTTACACATTCTAACTTTCTTTAATTACAATTAAATCAATTTAATTTTTTTCGTCGATGATGCAGAAAACGGTAACTCTTCCGGAACACTTGGTCTTATTCTTCTTGTACTTTTCATGAGTCTTCGTGTTAATCTTTCTTCTATTTTCTAATTTCTAATTTGATTGAATTTGAGTTTAGATTATGATTATATTGACATGTTGGTTTTCTCTTGCTGTTTCTTTCGTGACATTTTTAACATATTTTTGACGACGTTGAGAATATTTATATTTTGTATCTTAAATATTTTTGAATGTAAGGAATAACAATGAATGCTTGTACATCACACCAATAGGTGTTCCTTCAATGGATAATCATATCAAAACTAAAATATAATACAAATATAATTGTCAATCATTGGTTGCACATTATATAGGATGAGGGTCTTTATCAAAGGTGCTTATTTAGGGATATATGCAAAGAGTGGCATCGAATTTTCTGTAGGTGATTTATACCAAACAAGTGTGATACAAACAGTTTTAAAGTATCTTAAAGTAGTTTGAGACAGGAAAATGTGACACTTGTTGTTTCTAGGGGATCTGTACAAAACAATTGTAATGTCTGCTGTTTCTAGGGGATCTGTTCCAAACAAATGTGTCATAAATTGTTTCTAAGGAGAAATGTACAATAGAAATGTGAAAGTAATGCATCGACTATCATAACATGGCAAGCAAATACAAAGAATATAAACAACATTTAAAGTTGATAAATGATAGTTGTTAATTTGTTTATTTATCTTTTTTTATAAAACATCCATTTACAAATTCTAAAAGATGCTGTACAGGATATTTATTGGTGTACTTACTAAGGGTTCCTGCTTTCGCGGTGATGGTAAAGGTTGTCGTCTGTCCACTCATTCCTCCTACCAAACCACCTCCGAAGGCTGTGACATACCCGCCATCGACCTTGTCGACCAGGCACGAGAAAGGGCTACCTGTAACACAAAACTTGATATAACGGGCAGCAGGCTCTGATAATGTCAATTATTCTTATTTATGAAATAATAAGTATATCCCTGTTTTGTTTCTTTGTGCGATATAAGGCTGGATATTTTTTATGTTCGATAGCCTGCTTTTTGGTCTCGTTGTTGTATACCTCGTTCTCATTTGAGAACGTGACACTGCTTACTTGGATTGACATACTTGGTGTCGTCGATGAAGCAGAGAACTCTTACTATCCGGAACACCTGATCTTATTCTTCTAAATATGACTTTTGTTTATATTTTACCCTAGTTTTATTGAATTTGAGTTGAAATATGATAATATTGGCATATTGGTATTTTCTTGTTTGTGTTGAAGTTTGTGTTTTGTAAGTATTATACATGTAAAGCTACTGATGCACCCGGAGATAAATGCCTTAGTTCAGTGATAGAAGCACCTTGTACCGGTTCGTCTATCGATATAATAAGTACTCCAATCTAACTAACGTTGACGTTCATCTGACGTTGTCTTATCTGAAATGTATGGAATGGCAGTACATCCACATGGCACGTATGGTGCGTTCATGGCATGTACTGAATGATGTCAAAGCCAGTGTCGCTCATAGGCTGTACATCAACCTCAACGAGATGTTAATGAGCCTGCCATCGCCTGAGTGGTGTATTTTCTTTATCACTTCACCAGTGTTACTTAATGATGTGACAATGCGCGTGAGATGTACCACCTCCTGTGATCATGTGATTCGGTGTATTACATGACTTTGCAGCATAGATGATTAAAACAGATGTAGCTCAGGAATGGATATTTCTTCAACAAACATCGGGTTATATCTCGGAGAGAAGTTATCTTCACACACTGAGAACACACACACAATGCACACAATGAGTATATTAATGCATTCATTTAGTGGTAATCATTCGATATGCCCTTAAACTAGAGAAAAACATAGCGCTCCGGCTTAAAATCAGTGTCACGTAGATTTTTTAGAAAGTGTGAGAAGTCCTGCTACTGTTTACTAAAGGTCATTAGTCACTTAACACGTGTCAAAATAGTGACGAGTAACATAGCATGATAAGTAACGTCACAAGCATCCCTGCAGTGCATATCAAAGAGCAATTATTGAAAATTAAAAACCCACCGATCTTTATTTGGACACATTACCTGTAACAAAAAATAACATAACATGAAGCGATGATATGATCAAATTTAACCATATGTCTGTGCTTTGAAGAGAAACTCAAAGGCGGAAGTGCATTGGCTCAAGTGCTTGGCTGTTCTGACTTTTTGAACTGTTGCCGTGATATGACTTCACATTTATAAAAGTCTGTCATATCTTTTTAATGGGAAAGCACTGAAGTAATTCGGCTGATTTAGTGACGTGCACAATCATAAATCAATTTACATATATCTTGCTTTTACAAACAATTCAGGAATACGTTTAGTTTGGAACCTTCATTATAATAGATGTTATATATGTTCTTATTTCGTCTGGAATTTTCCAATATGGATATCTTATCTATTATAAGTTGGTTGTTCATGAGATGTAAGCTAGTACCCCGCCCTACTACCCCATTAGTGACACTCGTGTAATTGTTTATATATAAATCGGTATGCATCAGAGAACGCTGAACTGTAAAATAATGATATCCAATATTTACATCATTTACACGAAATAGGGACTAGATGCCAATATATATTGCTGCCAGGCAATGCTACCAGGAGGCTTACAAAATTGTTGAAGATGTTTTAGGTGCGTTCTTTCTTTTGTATGCAAATATCTGCGTATATCTTGTAGACTGGCGTGAGTTATATTCCCAACATGTATATCCCAGATACCTGTGGTATTGTGTATTTGTTGGCCTGATGCGAAAACCAGTTGATTGCTACTAGCTGAGTCAGCCGTGTTTATAATGCCAAACTATAAATGGTTACTCCACCATTAGCCTGTGTATTATCAGGATAGGACAGGGGGCGGGGAATCCGTTGTAACAACTTCATTGACTCAAAATTCTAACTTCGTCCGGTAAACTGGCAACCCTCTTTTTGTTTGATGAGGTCCTAGTTCACCCGCACCATCAACTGTTACAAGTAGTAAGGATACGAACAACATGCTAGGTACCACTGGTATCAATCGCTACCATAAATCACTATGAATTCTTGTTAGTTTTCTGTTGTTAGGGTTGGTCTTCCAATGATGCTGCTGTCCTGGTCAAACATATATTAACTGTCACAAAGAGATTACCGATACATACCAAAGTAATCACTGATAATGTAGAGAAATGCGATCCATTTCGTCGACATTATAATTGTGAGCATATTTCCTTTCGAGCTAGCATTCTGACATTCAAAAGGATAAAAACCTTAATTGCAAGGTGATTTGGTTTTTGATATCATAGTTATTTATTGTTTAAAGTCCTTTTGACCGCTACTGTCATTGAAAGACGGCCTCCTTATGTTTGCGATGTGTGCGTGTTTTGAGTGTGTATTTTGATCAGGGTGCGATATCATTGTGAAAGCCACACTGTTATAGTGTTATCTAAATGAAGTATACTGAGTGAACCAGTCACACTAACTGGCATCGCTGAGCGTTACAGAAGTGGTGGAATCTCTGCCAGGGGACATAATCCAAGCCTTTCTTACAGGCGCGAACGATCAATCAAAAATGAAAAAAGTCATTGTCAATGAAACGCAAAGAATAAAATAGAATAAACAACATTTTTCGTCCTGATGTCTCTTTTCACGTATTAGACCCCAAATTTAATCGCATCTTATGTTCATGCAAAGAATCAGCTTGTACAGTTTAAAGCCCTAATTGCAGGGTAATTTTTCCTTATTTACAAGGAGGCATTGGTATCCGAGTAAGACATAACTGTGGCGGTAAAATATACATACTATTATATACAAAGGAGTGTAAGCTTATATATCTCACACCGCTTGTACCTCACAAGTAGTAATTGTTTACAGAAAAAGAAATCAGGTAGGAGGTAAAAGAATATATCTGCAGTTATCAATTAATGATGGATGAGGCCTTTTAGTAAATATAAAAGTCGTTGACCTATAAAATACTTCTTTGTAAGTTCTAAATGAAAAGCGAAATGTCGATAGAGTGTTTGGAATCTGTAAATTGTCTGCCGTATTGTCTTGTCCATAATATACACACTTTGATATAAACAACTATTAACTCGCTGTTGATGAATCATAACAAAATCGCAGTTCGTTTTGTGATGTTATATGTTTCCGGCGATGAGCAAATCCGCCGTAATTGAGTAGGCGTACCAACACCAGGTTAGGGATAATCACCTCCCAACAACAGCCCATTTCATGTACAACTTATTACATTACCGTTAACTTTCCTTCCGTGTAATTTTGAATTATTGAATATCATCAGGATTTCATGGGAATTAACTTGTTTGTGTTTAATTTTGGTATAGTTAGTGCTTGCTAGTGATACACGTCGGGCACCTTTAATATATATGATATAGACCTCTCTCGTCTGATTAGTGAAGTGTTACCACAGCTGTGTGTACCAACCCTGCAGGGCTAGCAGCGCGCAGCTGTACTGTTTGAAGTGAGCTGAGCTTCAACTTGCAATTGGCAAAGTGGCATTCTGCCCAGTAACGTACATCGTTTTTAGCAAATACTAAATTCATATGTAGTGTGCTTTTCATTTCTTAATACCTCTTTGTCTTTATGACGAAATGAACAAGGCGACTCTGTTTGAACAGATGACCGATGGCAGCACTAATTACAGAAGGCCATACTCGCTTGGCTTTGAATTCCTTTCTCGTTGCCTTACTTCTTACAGAGTAAAGGTTTGCCATGTACAATGCCATCTCGTGAATAGACATAAGTCGAATTCTGTCATTAAAATCACATCAAACATTTCACAAATGGTAATTCAGTGGTAATTGGATGAACACAGTGGTATTGCTTAGTGAATATTTTTGCCGTGTTTGTAACCGGTGCTGGGATAGAGACTGCCCTGAATTAACGTTATTTGTATGTAGTACACGTTCGTAGGTCTATACAAAATCGGCCTACATCTGTGTTCAATCAGGAGGGTTACGGAAGCTTCTTCTGCTTCCGACTCATTGGCGTTATGGTGCATACGTGAAAAAATGTCGGTGATTTATTTCCTATAAGTCGGCATTCTTTTATGAGGGGACTTGAGTAGATGATTATTACCTATGCGTTGTTTTCTATTATTTTCTACTTATTCCCAATAATTTATAATTCTGCAGAAAAAAAACCCTAAATCACCAAGACTACAGAAATGTTTTCTTTGTATCGGGAACTGTTATCTAAAAAAAAAGACAAAAATGAAACAAAATAAGAAGGTTCTCTGTCATTTAGAAACCTGACATAATATCCATGAAATAACGCACAAGCTTCGGAAACTAATGTTCCCTTACCATGTTGATAAACTGAATACCATTTGCATTTGTGACTCCTCTGGTCGGGTTCATATTTCAACTTTCAAGAATGCAATCCTCAGTAGTTCGTACAGCTTAATCTATACACTTGTAGGTTTCGTTGCAATCTTTGTGTCAGTGTATGATTTTAAGACAAACATTGAAAAAGAAGACTACCTCGGAATATCGGATGGTTTTATACATTCGACGCCTACATGTGCATTTCCGTACTAATGGCGTACCAATAAAAACATCATTGGTGGTGAAACATTCAACATACCTTCCACAGCGTTTCCTTCATAACACATCTGGACCTCGTGACGTCCTCCGGCCACGGGGCTGTACTCCACACGGATGGACCCATCAGCGTTGTCCTTAATTTCTGGTCTTAGACCTGAAGGTACTGTCGCCATTTTGTGCTGAAATAAAAAATAATTACTTTAACGACTTATTTAGAAATTATACACCACATTACATACTAAACATTCTATTCATAGCTAATTAGTGTTGTTCATGCTAAAAATTCTCGTTATATCAAATAACAATCGCAATTAACCATGCTAATTAGTGCATATTTATTACTGTCTGCTTACATAAAACTCGGTCAAGATATTCTGAATTCCAAACTTCTTTTCCAGCTGTAACTAATTCATACAACTTTTTTGTCCTTGTGTTTAGAGTCAGTGTACCTTTGTCAAACCGGTCGGAGTCTGGTAGAACCCATGCAAATATAAAATGTTGACTGGTATCTAGTACAACACCATGTATCTTAGTAACTAGATATACGTTATCTTACTGTTAGCTCATTCATTAACAATATAGTAGGCGTTGTTTTTATACGGTTTCCGTCATGTTCATGTTATTGCAACATACCCCGACATTAGTTAACTGTATTACGTCTGAAACGTACACATGAGAGTTACATAATTCAATTACGCGTTGATGCGTATATCTGTTTGGAGCAAAGCAATGACTTAGGTAGGTGGGCGGTTTTAGAAATGTATTTCAGTTTGCGGGAATATTGTTTATGCGTATGGCAATACATCTACCACTTAGATGTAGTTGCGAAAGCAATTGTCAAATGGTAGTCAAATATTATCGTCGCCAGGTTCTCGGCATAGCTACTTCATATGAAGAAATATTCTGATACTCACACATAACACATGAAAAGAATTTTTAATACAAAATTTTATTGAACACAGCATTCCGCCTCAACGACATTTATGTATGAGCAAATTTTGGAACGAAATGAAAATGAGAGAAACTCGGAAAAGAGGGGGCTACAGGAAAGACTAGGTGATTATGAGAAACTGATCCTTATATCGAAATATCCCTCACCACATGTTGCACTATGATGTCCAGGGAGATAGATACCAGTTAATAAATGAAACAGGGTCTAGAAAGCGACGTAAAGATATTTTCGATTGAAACCGTTCAGACAAAATGAAGTTACATTAAAGACAGGTGTATCGTGCCTTTTTTAAAGTAAAAAAGCACCAGCGTGTTTAAAAAATAAAAATCAGGAAAACGATACATGAAAGGACTTCAGGAGAACGTTCTATGGTCGCTTTCATGTTCTTATACTTAAATATAATTGTTCCGTATTCTTGTGCGATATAAAATTAGGTGTATTTGATTTGCTCGTTAGTATATCCCGTGGTTCCTTTGTTAAAACCCTGGTTCTCATATGAGAACGTGTCGTTAATTACTTACATTGACCGTTATTTATATACTGGGCATCGTGTATGAAGCAGAAGACGCTTACTCTTCCAATACACCGGGTCGGATTTTCTTTTTCACATGTCTCAGTGTAAAATTGTTCTTATTTTGCCCGTAATTCGTCATTTAGGATCGTGATATAAGAGTCTGTTGACATAGCTATGTTTTCTTTTGATTTTCGACTGAAATAAGAAAATACACCTCTTCAATTCGAACTACAGTGTTTGACAGAAATCTTATCAAATACTCGACCACTACATTTTCAACATCAATGGAATCGCGTCCTATTGTAAGGAAGTGCCGATTACTGTCTCTCTTAATCGCACCTAAATATATCAGACAATTCTTCAAACATTTGTTTATATGCGTATTTGTCCCTCAAAAAAACTTTGTAAAGAAAAACTATGTCATTGTTGGTGGGAAACTGTTTCAAATCTAAGACTGATTCAACAGATCACTGGAAATGAGATGATTGCCAGTATACAGTACGATTTTGTTGGATTGAAAAAGCTTGACTTTTGCCCGGGTCGTTGTAAGAGGGTGGTGTTTACACTACAAACGACTACGTAATTTATGTCCATCGGGCACATTATATAGCATAATGCATTTTGTGCTCACGTCTCGGAAGACGCGATGGCCAAATACTATTCTATTTCGGTCAGCACAAGTATGTGTTGGTAACTATGGAAGCGTGTATATTCGTTAAAAGCTAGAACTTTGACGTATTACAAGGGATTGATATGCGGATAGTTAAGGGTAATCTAGCAGCGCCCCTGCCTGGCTCCCACGAACACCTGGGCAGCAAAACCTTTCTATGATAAACGCAAACAGCTTAGAATATTTTCAGCTAAGTAAGTATAGAAAGGTTAATCATATCGAGGATTTTAATATCTTGTCTATACACAAATATGTGTGGAATGGACAGACTACTGGGTGTTACTTGTTTGGCCATATAAGCAACTGGCGATTATGTTTTGCAGGACTTTAGGAATTTCAGCAGTAAAACATGTTCTCATCAAACATCTCCATGTCGTAGTAAGTGTAAGCCTTATGTGTTGCTGGTAAGTAATTCCCTTCAAATGCGAAGATCTAGAATGATTTATATCATTACAAATAACATTAAAAATCGCATTTTTTTGAAAAGACGGAAAAGGAAGTGCTATATATGATAACAGACAGAATGTTGAGAGTGACGGCGGTAACAGGCACGACGTTAACAAGTCTGACAGGACCCAGAGTGCTTTAGTCAACATGTTGACGGCGCCTTTTTAACATCACCAGTGGCTGCTCAGATGAAAACGTCGTTTCAATTTAAAATCATAAATAGCAGACTTCGTACGAGTTGTTTTTGTGTATTTCACTAAAATGGCTACCCCAAAATAGAGTTTTAAATCAAGCCTTCATTAGTGGGATTGATATCCAATGGTTATACGTCTGCGCACATCAACCACACGTGACTTCCCCAATCAGACATGTGATGTTCATTCTAACGCTAATATATCTTTTTTACAAACCGAAGATATAGCTGTTTGAATCATTTCCAACATGTTTATTACGATTGTAGAAAATAATGAATGTAACGTGAAAACTGCTAAGTATCCATTTCTAAAGAGCTCGAGTGCAGAGTAGCCAAAATCGTACTTATCTCAGTCCCAAGTGTTATTGCTTGTTATTAGTAAATTAATGGTAACTTCTAATTACCGATAATAGAAACATATGTTATAAGAAGACTGTAATTGTTTCAACCTCATTTTACGAATTCAAAACTTTCACAGCAACATCGAATGCATATTTGATATTAACATCTATAGAATATTGCATTAATAGGCAAAGGTGGCTTACATTCATTCAGAGGTTGGGCTTGATAACAAAAAAACCATAGGGAAAATTTTTTTATCTATTACAAAGAGGAAATGATACATGCTGGTTTCTTTGATTCACGGGTGTGGTCCGAAAATATGACATTCCAAAAGGACAATGTTCGGAAACATGACATTTCAAAAGGACAAGGTTTGGAATCAAACAATCTTATCGGTAAACTTTAAACTGAAAACAAAGGTGTTTTATCAGGACCATTTTGATGAAGTCAGAGTAAAATTTCTGTTGTAGAACAGCATGTCTCCAGAACAGTTTTTAATTATTCAACCTATTCAGAATTAGACATTGTTTGGAGGTGGGGTCACACTTTGTACATCTAATAACACGTCGATGAATGGAGAGAAATGTTAGGACCAAGTTTTAATAATCAAACTTTTTAAAACCAGTATATGTGAACATGCGTAATCATACTAGTATCGTTTGGGCCACGTCCTACTCATACAGACACACGCGTGTGTTATAAACCTATAGGAAAGCATACGATAGCACCGAGACAGTCAAATCGTCATAAACACATCTCTGTTGCAGAAATCTGGCAATGAAGCGTATCGTTTAGTAGGGAATATGTTGATATAGGCATCAATAAAAAGAAACAGTTGCCGACACACTAGAATGTGAAGTACATCGGATAGCTTCTGTATTTGTACACTTTACGTGTAAATAAAAGAAAGGTGTACTAATGTTTGCCCGAACTAATTGAACTGTATATCTTTACGTCATTCTTAAAATTACTTCACTCTTCTTGGTGTCAATGATGATGATGATGATGATGATGATGATGATTGTACAATCATATAAAGTAATGGGGGTTTCACAGAGAACTCGAGAACTATTAAATTTACAATATTTCTGATATATTATTCCCAATACCATAGTGATAGCCGATATATACTTACAATATGTAAATAGTGTTGATGTATTAAAGAGGAGGACATTGAGGACTGCGTGTATAAGGCCCAGGCTGGTGTAGTATTACACCGAGGCACTGGCCTTATACAGATATATGGGATCTCACACGGAACTTGTCAGTCGGATTTATCGCTCGTCCTGACAAACACCGACAAGATCTCCCTCATACTTCTGAATACATACACGTCAACCTACACAAACATTGTTTGTTCCTCCTTCCGTACACATAAACAGCTGCCCTGTGTTCTATCCTAATACCTCTACAACTGGTTTCTCTCCCCCGCTCTAAATATCTACCCTATAGAGTCTATACACAAATGCATATTGTCTATGGCCTGTCCTAAATCCTCCACCTTGACGTTACCTCCATAACTACAGCCAGTTTCTCAGTTACACTAGACACAAATAACTGCTGTCTGGGCTGGACCGTCTGTCATACAACATCACTAAATAAACCCATGTAACCCCATGTACCCAATACCTAACTTCCCTCGGGAACTTTAAAGTCAGCCTACATTAGAAACTTTTCATTTGCAACTACCAAACATTGCCATCTACAATTAGAAATTAGTAGAAATCATCTCTTATATCAAATAGTATTGATTTCTTTATGATCATGAACGTTTAACAGGAGGACTTGTGTACATTTGTTACTTTCAATATACCGGTATACAACGTCTTTTTCGACCGACACATATCTGGCTTATTTGAAGAAATACAATAATACATTTACTAACTGTTATGATATGCTATCGAAATGTTGATGTGGTCGTGAAATGGAAACAAGGCGTCGAAAAACAAAAAAACAAAATTGATAGAGTAACATTTACATGGTCTCGTGGAAAAACAGATGCTACTCTGTACCAACAAACGATATTATGGAGTACAGAAATAATTGATCAAAGCCGAGCGC